AGAGGACTTGGTTGGAGAATGCTTTTGTAGTGGAAAGCGTTAGTTAAGAGAGCTTTGATTATTTGGCTTTTCTGATCTATAGAGGACTTCCTATCTGTATGCTGCTAAAATGCACTCTAACACACGTTTAATTATATTTCTCTTAGCTAACAAATACTTTGGACCAATGGGGGAAAAGCAATATTTCTTTATGAAGAGCCATCTCTCTTTTTTTTTTTTTCTTTTTACATTTAGATGATGGAACACCTGGATTATACAGGAAATGAAGAAAGCACAGCATCAGCCAGTGAACAGCCTGGAGGACAATAACATGTAGGATCCTGATTGAAAATAGTATTCAAATTTTCTACAAATGAATTACAGTAAATTTGGTGAAGTTTTACAGTAGAGTATTTCCTACTCTGTGTAAAGGTGTTTTTTACTCCCGCACCTATATTTTTATGGAAAATATTGTTAATAACATAGAAGTAATCAAAATAGACTTGCATTTTTACAGCCAAACCATAGCTAGTAAAACCGTGCCTTATTTTGATTTAAATAAAAGGATATTTTCTATGCAATTTTCCAAATGTGTTTCTATACAGTATATTTTTATAAAAGTTTCTTGCCCATATCAGTTTGATGCATGAAGCGTTTTCTTAATTTTGATTAAGACTAGTCAAGTTTCATTAAAAAAAAAAAGTACAGTACCCTTCATAGGATTCCTTTGTGGATTTTGAATGCAAAGATTGGTAGTAATGTAACTATAGCAATTAAAGAATGAAACTATAGTTCCATTGCTACAAGTCATTGAATAAACAGTGCGTATGTTAGTCTATGTACGTTGTAAGCCATAAAATAAGTAACAGGGCAAACTTAGCTTGGGGTTGTGAGCTTTTTTGCACTCCCCCCTCCCTATAGTATCACTGGCTTATGCCTTAATTGTGAAAATTGTTAAGCTTCGATGCAAGTCTTTGGATTATATACATCGCCAACCATTTCCAGAAAAATAAAAGGGGGGAGGTACTTACACAGTGGTCGTGGAAACTTAGGTGCAGCTCCTGGAATAGTTGACAAACAAGATGGTGAGAAAGGCAAGAGGGTTTTTGCTCAAGAAGTGCTGTTTCGGGGGGTGGGGTGAAATGTTAACCCTGGCCTGGTTCTTCTCCTACCCGTTGAGACTAGGTCTACATTTGTGGTCTTCATTTGGCTGTGGATCAGTTCAAAGGGATGGGGGAAGACAGGACAGATTTTTTTAGCTTTTGCACCATACTTTTTTTTTCTTTGAAACTGGTTTTGAAAATTCTTTGCAATTGATAGACAAAACAACAGGTTTGAATAGTGCTAGTAGTGCCTGTGTTAGTTAGGGCCGATGCATGTGTTTAACTTGTTTAATCTTAATTTGTTTTCGCTTTTAAAGACTTGGAAAAGGAGAAATAGTTTAAATCATTAGTTTGCATTTAGAAGAGTTTGAGTTTGTTTGACACTTTTCTTTTTTCAGGAAACTGCAAATTGAGGGGGATTAGGCATAGAAAACTTGTGTAGCTGTAATGCTAACACTTTACACCAAAGAAAATTGGAGAAGGCAACAACAGGAAACCACTGAGTTCACTTAGTGCTAATGTCAGGTAGTCGTTAAAACATTTTTCCTATTTTTTAAATGAATGTCACTCCTATAGTCAGTAAAAGTTCAAGAACTCTGGAGAAAACAACCGAATAAGCACATGCTGGGCAACGGCAATGCAGGCTTTCCTGCAGTGCCTCACAGAAGTGCCTCAGTGTTCGTCTGAAGGTCACCTCTAGACATTTATAGTTAGTTTGGGGCATGTCTGCTCAGGAAAACTTACCCAGATTAAATCTAGTTTAACTAGATGTACTTTGGAAGTATGCTAATTAAGAGAATTGTAAATCTATATTGGCAGTTAACAAAGGCTTACTGCAAATTCACCGCTTTATGTAATGTATATCAAGTTTAAACTTTTGTTCGCAAGAGTCGGGAGCAGACAAACTTACAGCCTGAGTATTGGTTGTTGCCATTCACACAGATTCACTGAGGTGCCAGTTGATACGGGTAAGATAACCATGCTGTTTGCAACTTCCCTAAGAAAACAGAAATTACAAACAGTTTTTATATGTTAGTAGTTGCCCCTCTTGACTTTCTTGACCTAAGCTTGAACTGACAGCCTCAGAATACAATGATCTTGCGCACCATCTTCAATTTTTATTTGACTGGCACTTAATAATAAATTACAGCATACCTCAGTGTGCCAATAGCAGACTGAAAACTTGTCTTCTGGTGTGTTGTCGTGCTCTTTGACAAGCCCAGTATCTGCCAAAGTTAAATGGTTATGAAGAAGTTTCTGAAAATTCCTGACGGAGACAAAGAAGTCGTAACTCATTCAAAGTCATGCACTACTCAAAGCTCTCCGAAGCTTCACAAATCTATGTAATATGACTCCTTTTTCTCTTTGAAATCTTCTGCATGGAGGATTTATTAAATTTTCAGCTGTAAATGATAATGGAATTAGTATAAACAAAGAAGACCTTTGGCAAAGTAAGTGTATTCAGCAGCTGGCTGTGGAAACTCTGTCTTGTTCTGTGCCTAATTATGCTCCATGCCTGATCATGCCTGAGGTTTCACACACATGTGCTGCAGTTCAATGGGATGTAAACTAACTTTTTTCTTTCGAATGCTTAGATGCTTTGTTTACAAAAATTAAGAATGGAGTTTAAAATTTTATATAAATAATAGGTTAGCATTGACTACTGAAATGAGGTTTTTATAAGTTCAATAGAACTGATTGCAACACTTTTAGCAATTTTGAATGTTTTTAATATTAAATTTGGTAAGGCTAAACACTATGCTAAAAGCCTTTTTAGTCATACTTTAATACAAAAATCTTACTACCTTTTTGTTATATGTTTACTGACAACAGCCCCCTTCCTTATGACTCTTAAGTTATCACTCGAAGGATGTTATTAATAAATGTTACTTGGAAAAAAATAGTTGAGTAATTGCTTTGTTCTGACTCGTCTTTTTCTTACTGTGAATGTTCATGGCAAAACAGTTAACACTTCGTAATACCAAGTAAATTAAAAATTTAATGTGAATTGAGCTACATCAATTTTACTGGTCTAACTTGGCAAATGCTTGTTGCACAGCTGTTAGTCATGGGGCTCTGTGAAAGTATACCTGACAAACAGCGAGTTAGAAACTTAACACGTGCAAACTTCTTCATGGTAACAAGCTTACTTGCGTTCAGCCTAGGAAATAGTGCTGTAGAAGTATTGTTCAACTGCACGTACTTAGCCTTAGACATGAAGGGCAAGAGAAAGCCAAGCTTCAGTCTTGAAACCCAGGCTGGGTTGGAGATATTGGCAGGGGAAAAAAAATAAATTGCTGAACCTGAATACACTTGATGTGTGATCCTTGAGACATCCCTAGGACCCTGGGATAGTGCGTTTGTATTTAACATGGTTTTTAAGTATTTTAAGCCTCTTCTGCTCATACACTGGAGGTTCCAGTAGCACTGAGTCACAGTAATTGAGTACTTAACTGGGAGAATACTCTCCAAAATGCTCTTTGAATTTACTTATTTTAAGAAGTAGAGAAGTTAGGAAGAACAGACACAGCTGCAATCAGCAAACTTGTTTTTCGCTGTTCCCCATGCATTCCGTTGTTGAGGCTGGTACATTTGACACTTTAGCAAATCTGCAGATCTCGGAGGCTTCAAAATTGCAAGCAGAAGAGAGGCATTTCCTTCTAAGGAAGAGGATTACCATTATTAGTTAGCAAGCTCTTGCCTGTTTAGATCAGTCCAATCTTTACAATTCCATTTAGACGTAAGAAAAAGCTTTTCACTGCGAGTGTGGTCAAACACTGGAGCAGGTTGCCCAGAGAGGTTGTGGAGTCTCCATCCTTGGAGATACTCAAAATACAGGTGGACGCAGGCTTGGCAGCCTGCTCTGAGCAGGGGGGTTGGACTAGGCAATCTGTAGAGGAGCCTTCCAACTCTACTGCTCTGCTTATTAAGGCATTTTTCTGCTTGTTTTCCAGCTTGAAAAATCGGCAATTTTTTTTTTCTTCATAGAAAAACTCAAATTTTATCACCACAACGTGGGTTTGATTTTTTCACTTGGAATAATTTACTTCTACTAAACTGTTAGATTTAAGCATATTAAAGTTGTCTTTGGATTTGTAATGCTTTCAGAAGCTAAAGCACTATTTTATTTTCAAGTAGCCTATCTAGCACATTTTACTGTGCTAATGATTTATCTTTCTAATTTTTGAGGAAAGAAGGAGGAGAGCAACTTGGACTGTTAGCCCTTTTGTCAGAAGTGAGTGATCAAAGCTCAAGGTTTGTGTTCTTGAGAGAGGCTGATGATGGAGGCTCAGGTATCTCTGGAATCCCTCTTATTTATAAAGAATGTGCAAGATCCTGTTTCCCTGAACACAGAGGGCATCAAATAGCTGAGAATGGTTTTTTTGCTTGCAGCTCAAAGACCTTTTAACCAATAAAGGGTTTAGATCAAAGAGCTCCCTTTCAGCTTTTTCTTAGGAGTGTGCTCACAGGTATTCTGCTGTCTGGTTTTCTGTTCCCTCTCCTTGCTCGTGCACATACTCACCTCCTTTCTTTCCCCCTCTTTTCTATTTATGCACATACCTCCTTTCTTTCCCCCTCTTTTCTATTTGGGGCAATACCAGCGTGTTTTGAAGTGTCTTTGCACGTTACTTTAGCTTGGACAATAATACATGCCTCTGTTCCAGTACGGAGACCAGCGTTTATGAGGAGGTTTAATCTTTTGGACTCTGTTAAAACAAATGCAGCAGTCATACCCACCAGCTCAATCCACCAGTAACAGTAATTTAAAACAATAGCTTACCTTCTGCACATCCTTGTCTGTCTTACGGTCCCACTGACTTTCTCGGGTTGCATTAATGTTGGTGCAACAGCCTGGCTTAGATTTGAAAAACAAAAAAAGTAAAGCAAGTTTTTTTTACCGTTTTATCAGAAGCTGAAATGCGCTCGTGCTGGCTCTCCCCGTGTTTTGCAGAAAGGCTACCAGAATATGTCAACTTCTGTATTGTACATGCTTGGCGATACAAGGAGATACAACAGGTACCGGTACATTTAAAAGTTCAGCAATAACTCAGTTACTTTAATTGCAAGCTTTGTTGTGATGTGTCCCTATCAAAGCTACAAGAAAAGCGGGCTCCTTTTAATTAATGTTTCTTTCAAAAGGTGATGGAGACTATGCTGGGAAATTGATCCATCCTTGTGGATTTAAGGCAACTAACTGCAGAAAATTAGCAAACAGGTATTTCTGTGGTAGGTGAGTATTTCTCTGGTAGCTGATTTCAAAAATAAACTTAAAAGTAAATTTACGTTATAGTAACAATGGAAAAAAGAGCAAATGCATGCCCATTGGTACCTTTTTTTTCTCTAGGAAATGGAACAGTAAGCCTCTGCAGGACGAAGTGACACTTTTGTCAGGGTCACTGTCAAATAACAACTCAAAGTTGGACAATTAAGACCAGTCCCGTATAGGCTCACCTAAAATTTTACCTTTTGATTATGAGGTACCTATCCCTGGATTTAAAAAAAAAAAAAAAAAAATCAAGAAAGAGAGCTTTGTAAGGATACCCGTGAAGTTGTTTCCGATTTCTAAAATTCAGGAAGCACTTGGTTTGACCTGCTGCCCTGTTCTTGCGGAGCGATTTGTTTGGACTGTCGCGCTAGGCTGGCGCTGCCTGCTGCTGCCGCCTGGCCGGAGGGAGAAGCAGCACCTCTGGCTGCTGCCGCTTTCCCCCGCAGGTTTGGGCAGCGCAGTCATGGAAGGAGATGCTGCACCTCTGCTTCTTGCACATGGAGCATCTCTACGCAAAGGCCACCTCACTACCTGTCCACCATGCACCAGCTCAGCTGCTAACAAGCTAAAACTCAAAACAAGAATTTGTGAGCCCGAAGATCACAGCAGGAACGATTTTCACAGGGAAGCTTTAAAAATCCTATAAAAGTTATGGGGGGAGAAAGTTCAGAAGGAACAAAACTGACGTAAAGAAGCTTTAGTTATTT